GAGATGATAGCACATAGTTTCAAAAATTATAGTTCACCTTACTTAGCACTGGCTCCCCTCCCCTAAATTATGCAGCAAAATTTACACATTCTGAGAAAAACTGCAAACTAATTAAGGATCGGGAAAAGTACACATGAAAAGGAAGGGAACTGAGACTAGAATACAAAGGCAATAGCACATGGAAGAGATGACAGCAAACTTTTAACTATCCCTCTCCATACTTGAGGGAGATGCAGGACCTGAAAGATGTCAAATTCAGAAGGCTTTATCAGATCTTTTCCAGACAGCAGTTAGCTTGCAAGTTTGCTTCTACAGAGAATCAATACTTCGACTTATTTCCCTTTAGCATATATAATTATTGTTGATATTAAATAAAAAATTAAATACAAAATAAATACAGGCTGTAACTCTGCATGCTTTTGGCCTCACACTAAGCATGTGCTACTGGGTATCAGAAATAAATATCCTTTACAGACATGCTAACTGAGCGCATACAAGTTTTTTTCTACCCTTCTCAGAAGCATGAAACTCCAATCTAAATAGGGCACTGTGAAAGGTAAACTACCTGTCCCAGTTCTGTAATTCTGAATGTTCTTAAATGGCATATATTGCATATAATCCTCCAAGTGAATCCTTTCCTCTAGCCAAATAATTTCACACCATTCTCCTTTTAATCTTCTAATCTGGATTTTAACAGGATTTATTACTGAGACTACCTATATAGCTAATTGTCAAGGTTTAGATGAAGAAATTTTTTTATATTTGTAGTTCTGCATCTAAGACCAGCACCATCCCATGCAGTTTCTTCCAACTGTACCAACACTGAAGTTTAGCAAGTGACCATTCTTTGCCAAAACCTCAAAGACAATTTCTATTCTGTTATCGAAGAATCAATTTATCGTTCCAGAAACAGACTTCAGGAGTCTTTAAAATAATTTTGAAATGCAGTCTGCCCATGCTGTCCCTGTTTCAAACAGCAGAAGCTCTACCAGTGTTGAAGTATCCGGCTATTTTATGTGCCGTAGTAACAACAGCATTCACCTTTGCAGCTGTTTCAATAAAAATCTGTAATGCTTCTCTCTCTCTTGCCGCACCTTCTTAACAGCCACTTCTGCCCCCTTCGCAGTCTTACGAATAAACCAGTAGTTCTTCTGTTAGTTTAATCAAAACTAGTACTGGTAGGTTTCTGCCATTCCAAACTCTCTCTCTGCTGTGTCCACTTCCCATCTCGGAAAATTTTTTCAAGTGATTGTGTCACTTGTGCTTGCAAATATGTGTAATTTCTAGTTGGTCCTTATGACCCTACTAGGATATTCTGTCAAAGCAAGAAATAAGCTAACTTGCTAAATTTCTAATTATTAGCCAACTGAAAGAAATATTAGACAGTCTGCAACTAAAAAAAGGATGAAAACAAGTCAGGTATACTAGTTGCAATAATAAAGTTGCTAAAGTTAAACAATTAAACACAGTTCATTTTTTCTTATTTAATAAATAATATAAAAAAGTGAACCTTTTTTTTTTTTTTACATTATTGGAAAAAACAGTTTCTTATCTAACTCCAGCAATAATACAAGCAATAATGAAACCGATTTAGATTTTTGGGTGGGCATTCCAGATCCCGTTTAAGTGGAGTCCAGTGTGCATAGCCTCACAACTACTGATGACTTTTCCACTCCTGGGGTTGGTCGTCTTTTGTGTTGTTCTGGTTCCATAGATGACCTCACTGTTCATTCGCAGGGGAAAAAAAAAAATCATATTCCTTGGTTAGCATTGAAAAAAAATCCACAAAAACGTGGCAAGTTTCAACACCTGATCAAATCATAACTACTTGTACGATATCATCATACAGATGTTCAATTATGTTTGTCATATCAACAGTAACATGGCATTTTATCTTTAGCCTTATAGGAAAAAAGTGAAACCCGATAGTATCTGCACATACACACACAGAGTACACTTGACAAAAACACTTTTATGTGGTTTACATTTCACTTTTATTTAATCCTCAAAACTGCCCATATTGCAGGGTTTTTTTGATGAAATATGGAACTGAGCAATTAATTCTACAAAATTATGGTAAAAACTTGCTCATTTTTCTACCTTATTGCTAAGAAACTTTACAGGTGCACAGTTTGTAAAAAATAACCCTTTTAAGACTGAATGTATACACATGCTACAGAGTTTTTAAAAAATTATATTAGCATAGCACCTCCAGATGGGGCAACTGCAGTGCTGAACACAGAATGTTTACAGAGTTAGAACCGCTCATTTATTTTACAGCTTTTAAAGGGAATAAATTGTTCAGTCCTAAAAGGGTTAAGTAGAAACCCTAATATACTTCTTTTCCTAACAAAGCTGCCACTCAATCCCACAGTACAGTGCTTGAAAACAAAGTCAAAAGTCTGGCACAGGAAAGTATACACATTTGTTCAGTACTCATAAACACAGCTGCTTTTGAAAGAAAGTAAATAATATGGTTAATTATTGAAGAGCATCTTAGTTTCAAGAGGGACACGTCTATGGAGTCATATAATCTACAAGTGGGTAGCTTACTTCCGATAGATAATTTGTTTCACTTGGCAGTAATATTTTGTATCAGGGAAATTCACTGATTTATGTCTTGAGTTCATGTCTTTTCAGGTAACCATTCTGATCTTATAAGTCTATGCAATTAAAAGAAGTACAGAATACCATTATTAACACAGTTGTGGGATGCCCTCAAGGCAAATAATTAGGAAAAACATCAGCAGCAGATTATTAAAGACTACACTAGTGTTGAATTCTGAAATGCAGTTCCAAATAAAAGAAAATAATGCATAGCTAAATTTGAGCACTTAATTTGCTTTTTCTCCCTATAGTTGGAACTATAACAACATTCTGAACAGAGACTCAATTTCTATGTATATAGAATTAACAGCAGACTTAACAGCTAGACTTGAACAGTTATAATAGTTTCATACTGAAACACTCTAAAAGTAGTTTTATCAAAATCTTGAGATATTGTTAATATAATGAAAATTAATTAACAGCTCACAAGGCCAATAAATGTAACAGTATCACCCCACAGGAAAACGTTCAGGAATATATCTGAACAACTGGACAACTTAACAACAGTAAGGACCTGGAAGACCATTTCTGTACTACAGAATAACTACTGGCAACAACAGAGCCACAAGCCCAAGGGAAAAATGGGGTTTAACATAGTCTTGTAAGCAGAACTTAATCGTCTCTTTTTTTCACCCACTTGGCTGTAGTGTGTAGAACAGCAGAAATTAGGCTAAGTCATTGGGTTCTTTACAAGTCAAGGAATATTGTATCTATTGGGCAAAATTATTGCAAGTAAAGAAACTGAATATAAAAAGTATTGCATTTATATGTAAAAATTTTAAAATAATGAGTATAAAAGCAGGTGTCAAGTTCTGAAAAGCTATTTTAAATAGTCTTTGAAGGTTACGAGGCTTGTTATGGTTTGCCTACTGTATGTCTATCATGGTTTGTTCTTTAATACCCTCTAAATCTGATATATATGTCACTTACGTAAATTCTCAGTCTAATTAGTAATGAAAATCTGTGGCTCTTGAATTAAGCCGTACTGTAAGATACTTACATGCTTCTAACAAAAACACTGTGAAATGATTCCTGCCACAACACAATCAAAACAAAATTTTATACCACATACAAAGGTAAACAGATTTGCAAGTAAATGCCAGTAAACAGTTTAAACCAGAGATAAGGCCACAATGAATTCTGCCGTTGGTCACTGAAACGGAGATGAGGTGAGGCAGTATTCACTAGTGCTAAGAACCAGCATTGTGACTATGTCATGGGAATAAGTTTCATAATACAGAATAGCAAATATGAAGGCCTGTGGTAGAATACAAGCACATTTTAAAAGGACAGTGGCACTGATTTTACTATTAGCTAAATATGCTTTATAACTGATTTCTTCCTTTAACCACATTGTTTTCACACATACAACAGAGCACTAAAGCAAACAAGTAGAATGGAGCGTCAGAGTACACAAATATGGTGCAGAGACAATGCTTTAAAATGGTGGTGGGTGTTGAAATTGGAATAAGTGGTCAGAAATAAAAACCCTATGAAAATGGTCAACAGATAAAGCTTGTAAGCAATGCACTGTAGGAAGCCACAGGTTCACATTTACACAGCAGTTGTGGCTCTTACTTTAGGGTATAGAAAAGGCTGAACACACCACAAAATTTGTATTTTGGCTTTTAAAGAGGAAGATCACACTATCAGAACTTGCCCTATGAGTCTATGCCTAGTTCTGTGACTACAAACGAACTACTGGGGTATACTTTCAAATACAAATGAAGCAGGCAGGTCTATAAGGAGGCAAAGTCAAAATGAAAAACAAATGCAACAACCAACAAAGTCAAAGTGCAAATGAGCCTTGAATTTATGATGGAGAGAAGACTTGAATGTTG